TGATTTGCCATGTTATAATTTTTCCATTGTTACTTTAATCCTACCATTTAATTTTAATTTGCCATGTTAAAATTAAAATTTTGTATTTGCTGATCTGGTATATCGCAGTCTGCCTTGACCCACCCTACGCAAAAATGTTGCCACCCTTGGTAATGAGTCGTAGCGGTATATGGCTGCGCTGCCCCGCTCTCCCGCCCACTCCAGTTTGAGCGTCGTGGGCTGCGGACGTGCCTAGCGATCGACCGGGCGACGAGCCAGCCAGCCTGAGAAGCAACAGCGAGAACAGCCAATAAACAACCAAAATCAATAAAACATAACAAATATAATAAAAAAAAAAAAAAAAAGCTCTAGAAACAACTACTATCTTGTTACTCCGCGGCTGTGTACCGGCTTTTCACTACACTTCTCTTTTTTCCTGGCGCTTGACCTCTGTTTGGCCACCATGTTATAGGCTGGTGCTTGGACGCTAAATTCATATGAAACAATTTATAACTTAATTAATTCTGATTTTGTATTCATCTTTTATTAAGCCTGTATAAATTTAAGTCACTCTAGTGAATTCGTTTATATTATTATTCAATGTTACTCCAAATTTTGTTCTTGAATGTTTACAATTCTGTTAGTGATTCATTTACATATATAAGCCTGTTAATAATTTCTTCCCACCTTCATTTAATATTTGTAAAAAATGTATTAGTATAAGTTATTACTGTATGTTAAACAAATAAAAAGCTGAACCCGCTCTAGTAGCGGTAACAGTGCTAATTTGTGCCCATCGCAGGCATGCATTGGAAAATCTATTAATTCATTAGTTTTGACTGTGGCTAATTATTATGTGAAAAATTAAATAATGTGAAAGTTCTTATTCCCATACGCTAATCCGTCATGTGCACACCCAAATTATCTTAAAGTTAATGCCAAACCCTACCAAGCTGGAATAAATTGAATCATACGCGTTGTGGCAAAAGTTATATGCTACTTATGTGTAGTGTGCGCTTATAATTTTAATTTTCACAACCAATTTTTAACCTATTTTAAAAATGTTCCATGTGAGCTTTTTAATGTGCGCACACTACTATAATGTGTCTGTTCTGTGTATATGGCAGATTACAAACAAACAGCCTATTCACTGCATTATTGCAGCTGTATTTTATCTGTGTTGACACTACGTAAATCCACCACTGCTAATACATCCAACTGAATCATACATTTTACGGCACCAATACATCAATCATGTGTTAACCCACCACGCTGCATTCTCATACTATGTGAATTGATCTCTCTGATAATGCATCTCTATTTGAATATGTGAATAAATCAAGCTGCACTAATACTTCGTCAGCCTCATTAAAGCTTTTTAATCTCTCGTGAAAAATTAAATGACACCACCTAGTTGAATCCAGCAATAACAACAATATGATTTCAATAATAAGAGTCATTATTCAATCATTATTCTTTGCTGTGTTTTGTATTTGCCGTGATCTAGTCTTTTTTATTAAATCTGCAGTAAACTGGCGGTCGACCAATTGTTTACTTTTTTTAAAAAAAAATGAGCAACTACAACAATACGGGTTCGCAATAGCTGGCAAAGTAGTTCTCGAAACTTATACAACTACTTAATCAAAAATTATTGCACAACCAGAACCATCAGTGTCACACAATAATAAATAAATTACAAATTCTAAACAAAAAGTAGTTTTCGAATCTCATACTACTATATCTGGATGTTAGCAGTGCCAAGTAAAATTAAAGATGTGTTAGACATTTTAAATGGTATTATTTACCACCCAGCCTCTTCTTTGATTCCAAACTGCTGATAAGTGTTTTAATACTCTGCTGCTATTGCCATCCCATTTACTACTACTGTGATTCCTACTTTTCTACTACTATGCCTAAAAGCTAATACGCTTACTGGCATACCAGAATCAAATTGTAAACATCGGTGCTGTGCGCTGTTGCGCAAAGAAAATTAAAAGAAAAATTCCATGGCACTGATTGTCGGGGAAGGCAGAAAAGCCATACCTTTCCCACCTGCGACTCCAAACTACTAGATGACTCCTAAATGTTGACATTGCTACCGCTCTTCTGAGGAACTCTCTGGAGGAACCCCAGCTACTCCGCCATTGTGCACCGGCTCTCCACTACGCTTTCCTTCCTTCCGGCGCCGGACTACTGATTTGGCCACCAGGAACACAAGACGGCATCTGGACGCTACGTTCGAATAAAATACTATAAAAATTTTAATATCTTATTTTATTCAGCTACTACCCTATCTTCTTAAAGCCATTAATAAAAATCATCAACATGTGACTTTATTGCTTCACTCATCTCTGACGAATTCAAACTACAGACGTCTACGAATTTCTTCCGCTCTGGAGCACCGGCTTTTCAATACATTCCCCATCTTCTCGACGCTGGACCTCTGATTTGGCCATCAGGAACATAGGTTGGTGCCTTGACGCTACGTTCATACAAAAATGTACTCGCCGCTGCTACTTTATAATATTCTACATCTACTACTTAGATATGATTCCACAAATATCTTGATTCCTTAAATATGTTGATTCAATGTTATCTTTATATCTTGTCCATTTATGTTTATGCTCACTCGTGACTCCTGTTTGCACCTGCCTTCTAGCTCTAGAAACAACTACTATCTTGTTACTCCGCCGCTGTGTACCGGCTTTTCACTACACTTCTCTTTTTTCCTGGCGCTTGACCTCTGTTTGGCCACCAGGTTATAGGCTGGTGCTTGGACGCTAAATTCATATGAAACAATTTATAACTTAATTAATTCTTATTTTGTATTCATCTTTTATTAAGCCTGTATAAATTTAAGTCACTCTAATGAATCCGTTTATATTATTATTCAATGTTACTCCAAATTTTGTTCTTGAATGTTTACAAATCTGTTAGTGATTCATTTACATATATAAGCCTGTTAATATTTGTTTCTTACTTTTTTATATAATATTTGTTAAAAATGTATTAGTATAAGTAATTACTGTATGTTAAACAAATAAAAAGCTGAACCCGCTCTAGAGCGGTTTTTTTTGTTTTATTAATCTCAACAACAATTAACATACTTAACATAAATATAACCATAATAAGGAGGGGGTGGGGGGGGGGGGGGAAAGGTGGTTGTTTATGGATGATGGATTGTGAGGGCTTGAGAGCGGGCGGGACGACCGCTAGGCATTGCGTCGCCCGCCACAGGCCCCAACTCTCCACCCTACCGCCTCTCCTGCTCGATGCTCCTGAGCCTCTGCATTAAAGCTGCAGCAAAAGTTGCTACTGCGTCCCAGAGCATCTGGTTCTCCAGCATTACATCCACTAGGTTTCCCGGGTCGATTGATCGGCCCGCCGTCGTCTCCAGTCGGTGGCGCTCTCGTGCAAACCGGCGGCACTCAAAGACAACGTGCCTGGCGTCCTCGATTATCGAACTCCCGCACTCCGGGCACCAGTCATCCTCCGTGTGGCCAAAACGCTTCAGGTATTGCCGGAAGCAGCCATGTCCACTCAAGACCTGGGTCAGGTAAAAGTCGACCTGCCCGTGGCTTCGCAGCACCCACCTTCTAAGGTTAGGAATGAGGGTGTGTGTCCATCGTCCCTTCGTCGACGCGTCCCAGCAATCCTGCCAGGCTGTGAGCGACCTCTCCTTGTCGTCCTCCTTTGCAGCTGTATTGGGGGTGCCGCCGGCACCCTCATTGCGAGCACGGGTTCCCTTAAGCTCCTTGAGCTCACGAGCACGCTCCTTCAGCGGGACCATCCCCTTAATGACCAGAATGGCGTCGTCGGAGACGGTCCTGAAGCCGGACGCGACTCTTATAGCACCCAGCCTGTAGACTGCATCTACCCCTCTCCTGTAGCTGGGCGTATTCATCGCCTCCGCCCAGATGGGTGCTGCATATAAAATTTGCGCCGAGGCAACGCTCACGAGGAGCCTTCTCCTGTTCTGCTTGGGGCTGGCAAGGCCCCTGGTAGTGGCTGCAGCCTTGCCCTGGATATAATCAAGGTGCTCGCAGAAGGAGAGCCGGGCGTCGATCATCACACCCAGGTATTTTATGGCCCGCTGGGAGGTTATGGCCATACCACCAACCCAGATTGTCGCCGTTGCCAGTACCTTGCGGCTGCTGACCAGCACCACTTCGGTCTTTTGCGGGGCTAGGCTTAGACCGGCATTTTGGAGCCACATCTCCAATGTCTCGATAGCCTTGTTCGCCGCTCTCTCCGTTTCCTCCCTGTGCTTGGCCACTATCACCAACGCATCCATACATGGCGTTCCACAGCAGCGGTCCTAGGACCGATCCTTGGGGCACACCCGCCGTAACGTCGTAGGACTCCGTGCCCATTTCTGTGTCGACCAGTAGCACTCTGCAGCTAAAGTAGCTACTGACGACGTTCATTATAGCACTAGGAACGTTGAACCGCCTTAGGGCTGCCAGTGTTTTGTTCCAGTCCGCCGTGTTGAAGGCGTTCCTGATGTCCAGGGTGACTATCAGGCAGTATTGCTTGGAGCCACCTTTCCACCTGGTTCCCGCTATTGCGTTGCGAGCAATGCCGACCACCTCTGCTATGGCATCCACCGTAGACCTTCCCTTCCGGAACCCATACTGCTTGGGAGACAGCCCTCCCGCCTCCTCTATGGCAGCCTCCTCCCTTGGTTTCCCTGGTTTGAGGAGCAGCAGGAGCTGCAGAGCCCGGCTGCAGAGCTAGAGCCAGCTTCAGGGCTCAGTTAGGAACCGAGTCCGGGCCGGGTGCTTTGTTCGGGGCCAGGCCTCTCCCTATGGCCAGTACTTCCTCTTCCGTTACCTCCTCAGTCGCTTCATTGTCTGCTGGGGGGGTGGGAAGCTGGGTCACACAACTCCAGGAAGCATCTCCTTTTACTGTCTTGGATGGCCACCTTCAGTGCTTTGCGCCTGTCCTTGAAGGCTTGGTGCCGCTCCTCAAAGGCGTCGCTGCCTCTCGCTCGCTGCATAAGCCTCCTTGCTCTCATGCACTCAGCTCGGATGGAGCCAATCTCCTCGCTCCACCAGTAAACAGGAGCGTGGTTTCTGCGGTAGCGGCTTAGCTGCAAGGGTGTCAGCCATTTCGTTGGCTCCGCTTGGTGGGACGTTGCCGATGTCACGTGCTGCCTCGGTGAAGTTCCTCGCCTGGAGCGTACCGACTCTGTAGCCTTGGTTCCCTCTGTTCGGTTCCCTCGGTCGTTCTTGAGGGCTACCAATTGAGCACAATATTGCTTCGTGGTCGCTGGCCGTAAAGCTGCCGCTTATCCTCCAGTTAGCGCCCGTCGCTAGCGAGGGGCTCGCGAACGTCAGGTCAATGATGGATCCTGCTCCGGCTCTGCTGAAGGTGAGCTGGTTCCCTTCGTTCAGCAATACGAGATCGAGTGAGGCGAAGGTTTCTCTGACCACTCTCCCTCTCGCATTCGTCCTCGGGCAGCCCCAGTCCTGCGCCCATGCGTTGAAGTCCCCTGCTACAAGGACGTCAGAACGGCCTCTGATGTCATTTCCTAGGCAGTCCATCATGCGCTCAAACTCGTTGGTGGTTAGGCTAGGTGCCATATAGCAGCTGTACAGCCATGCCCCACCTATCCGAGCCCTTACAAATCCCTCCGCACTGTGCACTGAGTGCATTGTCGCGCCGGTTGCGCCGCAGCTCCAGATGGCAGCCTTTCCCGATAGGTCAACTGCCCAGCGGTTGTCTGAGCCAGTCCTATGGGGCTCGCTTAGGAGCGCTATGTCCGCCTTCGTCTCCCTCGCAGTCTGCGACAGCACATCTTGGGCCGCCCTACAGTGGTTCAGGTTCAGCTGAAGCACTAACATCCTGTCGTCCTAGGTCCACCTCCTTTCGCTGACATGGGGCAACTTCTGCTTCCAGTCTGATGCCTCACATCCTTCCGGCCCTTATCTTCGCACGAGAAGCATCGAGGGTCCTTTTTGCAGGTGGCCGCCCTGTGGTCCGAGTCTCCGCAGCGGAAGCAACAGCCGCTTCTGTCCTTCGAGCTCTTGCAAGCGCTTGCGATGTGCCCCATCCCAAGACACCTGTAGCAGCGAGCCATGGCCTCCTTTTCCCTCATATGGCATAATGACCACCCAACCTTCACCTTGCCCACAGCAATGATGGCCTTGGCAAGGCTCGCGGGGAAAGCCACGATAGCGGTCTGCGTCTCGCCATAACTGCTTCTCAGCTTCTTTACTTTCAAGGCGCCTTGGCCCACCGCTGCCTGCTGCGCAATAGCCCCGATGATGTCCTCTGAAGTAGCTAGTGCGTCGAGTCCTCGTAGCTCGACGAGTGTCTCCTTGGTCTCCTCCGAGTACGCCCGCACCTCCGCCTTGCTCCCTAGGACCTCCTCGATGCAGCCTTTGAGGGCCTGTGTGGAGTTCTCCTTCTTCCTGGCCAATTCCAGTAGCAGCCCGCCCTTGGCTGTCTTCTTCACTTTCTTGACGCAAGGGCCAAGGTCGTCTAGCTTCCCGTCCTCCCTGCGAGTTACCATGCTTAGGATCTGACTGTACGTCATGCCTGCTGCTTGGATCACTATGGCGTCGAGTCTGGCTCGTCTCCTCTCGGGATTTCTAGGCTTGGCCTTCGTCCATTCAGACGTTCTCCTGCTTGCTTCGCCGTCGCTTCCTTTGTCGGCAGCCGGGTTTGCAACAGCTGGCTTGGGCCTTGCCGCCGTGTTGGCCGTTGCTACTTTGGCCCCCGAGTCCCGGTGTGCACTCCTGCGGCCCGTGCTGTTCGGGATGCTGCCGGTCTGCATAGCCTGGTCCTGGGTCCAGACCTCCGTCGGAAGGGTCTGCTGCTCCTTCTCCGCGGTATCGATGCCGACTCTCTCGCATCTGGGGCACACTGGCTTGGACATGATGGCCGGTCGCGCATGCTCCTCCGGAACACTTCCGACCAGAATGGAGTGGATGTCCTTCAATCTGGTTATCAGGCTCCTTTGCACTGCGGAAATATGCCTCTTATTTTTTTCCGTGACCCACGATAGCAGCTCGTTCACTATCGTGCCCAGCTCCGTCAGGCATTCTTCGCTTTTTGCCGGCGGGCTGCCAGCCTTATTTTTTTTTGGGGGAGCCGCCCTCTGGTCCTTGTCCGGGCTAAGCATCTCCCGTGGCCTCTTTGGCGTTTCCTTCTCTACCGCTGCTGGGCTGCCGGTGCCGGCTGAGCTGCTAGCCTGTGGCGCGAAAAGCGGCGAGCGCCGCATTTTATTGCTCTTTTTGAACGGGTCACCCGTTTTGGCACTCTTTAGCTCTTCTGCACTTGTAGTGTTCCTTTCCAGAGCGGCCAAGTGAGGCACCGCTTTGTCAGGTATGATTGGGATGTTGTTTAGGGCCTCCAGAATCCTTGCCCTAGCCGTGGTCTCTCCCACGGGTGGATTTCCTCTTCTGTGGCTGCCACCTTGAGTAATTTCGTTTTTCGACGACATTCCAAATTGGGGGGGGGGGTTGCGCATTTTATACCTACTGCCAGGTGTCTAAGATGCCGACCACTTTGGTACAGACGCAGACCTCGCAGCCGCCCAATGTGGGACAGACGCTGCGAGGGTTTTTTCTCCGGCTCAGCTGAGCGCTAGCCTTCTTCGATAGGGGGGGTTGGGGGGATGGGGAAAGTGGATAGAGCATGGCTAATGCATGCTGTGGTTAGGGGGTTTCAGCACTGCCTTCCATCGGTGCGCCTGGAATTTCCTCCTGGCGGGACCGATGGGAGTTATACCGCTCCAGCTCGGTCGCCAGAGCCCCTTTTGTGGGTGAACCGCCGTAACGGAGGGGTTGGCAGTTGGTCAGCTCCATGACCTTTGTCACCTCATGGTAACAGTGCTAATTTGTGCCCATCGCAGGCATGCATTGAAAGAAAATTGAAAAATCTATTAATTCATTAGTTTTGACTGTGGCTAATTATTATGTGGAAAATTAAATAATGTGAAAGTTTTTATTCCCATACGCTAATCCGCCATGTGCACATCCAAATTATCTCAAAGTTAATGCCAAACCCTACAAAGCTGGAATAAATTGAATCATACGCGTTGTGGCAAAAGTTATATGCTACTTATGTGTAGTGTGCGCTTATAATTTTAATTTTCACAACCAATTTTTAACCTATTTTAAAAATGTTCCATGTGAGCTTTTTAATGTGCGCACACTACTATAATGTGTCTGTTCTGTGTATATGGCAGATTACAAACAAACAGCCTATTCACTGCATTATTGCAGCTGTATTTTATCTGTGTTGACACTACGTAAATCCACCACTGCTAATACATCCAACTGAATCATACATTTTACGGCACCAATACATCAATCATGTGTTAACCCACCACGCTGCATTCTCATACTATGTGAATTGATCTCTCTGATAATGCATCTCTATTTGAATATGTGAATAAATCAAGCTGCACTAATACTTCGTCAGCCTCATTAAAGCTTTTTAATCTCTCGTGAAAAATTAAATGACACCACCTAGTTGAATCCAGCAATAACAACAATATGATTTCAATAATAAGAGTCATTATTCAATCATTATTCTTTGCTGTGTTTTGTATTTGCCGTGATCTAGTCTTTTTTATTAAATCTGCAGTAAACTGGCGGTCGACCAATTGTTTACTTTTTTTTAAAAAAAATGAGCAACTACAACAATACGGGTTCGCAATAGCTGGCAAAGTAGTTCTCGAAACTTATACAACTACTTAATCAAAAATTATTGCACAACCAGAACCATCAGTGTCACACAATAATAAATAAATTACAAATTCTAAACAAAAAGTAGTTTTCGAATCTCATACTACTATATCTGGATGTTAGCAGTGCCAAGTAAAATTAAAGATGTGTTAGACATTTTAAATGGTATTATTTACCACCCAGCCTCTTCTTTGATTCCAAACTGCTGATAAGTGTTTTAATACTCTGCTGCTATTGCCATCCCATTTACTACTACTGTGATTCCTACTTTTCTACTACTATGCCTAAAAGCTAATACGCTTACTTGCATATCACAATAAAATTGTAAACATCGGTGCTGTGCGCTGTTGCCAGATTGGCCAGCTAATAATTAATAAATTAAAAGAAAAAATTCCATGGCACTGATTGTCGGGGAAGGCAGAAAAGCCATACCTTTCCCACCTGCGACTCCAAACTACTAGATGACTCCTAAATCTTGACATCGCTGCCGCTCTTCTGAGGAACTCTCTGGAGGAACCCCAGCTACTCCGCCATTGTGCACCGGCTCTCCACTACGCTTTCCTTCCTTCCGGCGCCGGACTACTGATTTGGCCACCAGGAACACAAGACGGCATCTGGACGCTACGTTCGAATAAAATACTATAAAAAATTTTATTTTATTCAGCTACTACTCTATCTTCTTAAAGCCATTAAGAAAAATCATCAATATGTGACTTTGTTCCTTCACTCATCCCTGACGAATTCAAACTACAGATGTCTACGAATTTCTTCCGCTCTGGAGCACCGGCTTTTCAATACATTCCCCATCTTCTCGACGCTGGACTTCTGATTTGGCCACCAGGAACATAGGTCGGTGCCTTGACGCTACGTTCATACAAAAATGTACCCGCCGCTGCTACTATATATACTCTACAGCTACTACTTAATTATGATACCACAAATATCTTGATTCCTTAAATATGTTGATTCAATGTTATCTTTATATCTTGTCTATTTATGTTTATGCTCACTCGTGACTCCTGTTTGCACCTGTGTCCTAGCTTTAGAAGCAGCTACTATCTTGTTACTTCGCCGCTGCGTACCGGCTTTTCACTACACTTTTCTTTTTCCTGGCGCTTGACCTCTGCTTGGCCACCAGCTTTATAGGCTGGCGCTTGGACGCTAAATTCATATGAAGCAATTTATAACTTAATTAATTCTGATTTTGTATTCATCTTTTATTAAGCCTGTAAAAATTTAAGTCACTCTAATGAATCCGTTTATATTATTATTCAATGTTACTCCAAATTTTGTTCTTGAATGTTTACAATTCTGTTAGTGATTCATTTACATATATAAGCCTGTTAATAATTGCTTCCTACCTTTATTTAATATTTGTAAAAAATGTATTAGTATAAGTAATTACTGTATGTTAATCAAATAAAAAGCTGAACCCGCTCTAGTAGCGGTAAACGTGCTAATTTGTGCCCATCGCAGGCATGCATTGAAAAAAAAAATAGTTAAATTTAAAATTGAAAAGTTTATACATTAGTTTCGACTGTGGCTAATCTTTCTTACGTGAAAACACTTATTATTGTGCCTAATCTACACCTGCACTCTGAATCTGCCAAGTGCATATATTTGACCATAACCCTATTTGAATCGGATATAGCATATATGTTGTGACAAATATACTATCTTAATCCTCTGTTTAGTGAGTGCTCCTAATCCTAAATTTGCACAACCAACTTTTAACTATTTTAAAAACTGTACCACGTGGAATTTTTAATTTGCATATACTACCTTAAGCAGCTATTGTGTGCATGCAGTAGAATACATACAGCCAGTTACTTCATGCATTACTACACTTACATTGCCTCCCATTACAATCATATTTCATTGTATTGGTAAACTCACCACTGCACCAATACATCAAACGCCACCAACACTCCTCATAGTACCATCTCATTACACTGTATCACTCCATCCTACTGCATCATTATATTTAAATTGCACCATTATATTACCATCCCTTACATAATTGTGTACTGCACGTGAAAAGATGGAAGCTACTACCACAAAACCCAGCATTAATAACAATGTGGATCTCAACATGGAAGAAGATGGAGTCAACTCTAATGGAAATGTGGATGCACTATCAGTGTCCATTGCCAGCTCTCCTAGTTCCTTTGAAAAAAGTGTTACTACATCACCTAGGCTTTCCTGGTTCTCTTCTGGCTCTAACCCGGCTCCAAGTGACTACACAGCTATTAATAATCTGGCCTCTTTGAATCAGGAAAACTTCACTGAAATGGAGACTTCAGATGCTGACCACATGGAATGCAACACTGATCCGCTATCCACATCTACTCCAAAAATCTCTCGGGAGCTCTCCCTGCTTATTGGTAAACCAGGACCAATGTGCAGAAAGAGGAAAAAATCATTCCCACTATCATTATCCTTGCGTAAGCGCCCCAGGCGTGGTACTTCTAACCATAACAGAAGCTCTTCCAAGAATACTCCCAAAGGCCTGATCTCTCGTGATAATCTTCTACTGGATGCTAATACAAATGTTACTAATATGCCTGCCATGAATAAAAACTGAGCTAAGGAATCTAACTCTCTCACCAACCGTAAACCTAAATATGAAATCCCGGCTAATTTTCTTCACGATGGACCCTCCACCAGCAAGGATGCTGCAAAACTACTTAAATTGTCATCTCTTCGTGATTCAGAGGATAAAATCCCGGCTATTTTCCTTTATAATGTTACCACCATCCAACCCCTTCTTGATTCTATCAACTCCATTCCTGGTGTTATGGAGAAAAACTTTATCACTACTACTCTTAATGGAAACCGTATTAAAATTATGTGCAAAAACTCCACTACATACCAGCTAATCATGAATCAACTAGAGACTGAAAATAAAGAAATCCACACACACCAATCCAAATCTGATCGCGGGTATAGAGTAATTATTCGTCGGCTTCATCACTCCACACCTTATGATCTAATCCGTAATCACATTAACAATCTGGGATTCACTGTTCGATACATTAACAATATTAAACACCTCCGCAGCCATAAACCACTTGACTTATTTGAAGTTGAACTTGCACCGTCCCTAGATAACTCGAATAAAAAAATATTATCTATTACTATGTTAGGTAATCAAAGAGTTACAATTGAAGAATGGAACCAGCCATGTGCCACCGCTGCCAGCGCTTTGGACATACCAAGAATTTCTGCCGTCGGGACTTTGTCTGCCTTAAGTGTGCAGGTAACCACCCAACTACTGACTGTGCAAGTATAAATTTTGCCAATCCAAAATGTGCAAACTGTGGACTTGGCCATGTTGCCAGTTACAAAGGTTGTTCTGTATTTAAGGAAGCCAAATTCCGTCTCTTAGCTTACCGAGCTGATGTAGCCACCAGTCGCCCCAGAGTCAGTACTAATACTCAACCTAACTACTATGACAATCATCTACAACAGCACCACCAACTACCACAGAACCCCTCAAAACAGCAACTTGATGATAATTATGGAAACAATAAGGATCCACAGAGGACCCCTAGTGGTCATAGGGCAGCTACTTCACCTAACTACCAACCTAAACTCAATAATGCTAACCCCTTCCATACTAAACCTGATTTGGGAAAAAGAGTCACATTTAATAACCCTTAAAGATGTATTTTCACAGTTCATTATTAGATTCCAAAATGAGTAGATCATTCACTCTCAAATTAAATGGTAATGAATCCATTACAAATGTTACTTATTTCCCACCCATTGAACTGACAAATGGTGAATATGAGTGTGCACTCATTGACTTTCATATGTACAACTCCATACCCAATATTGATATAAATAATAACCAATTTCATATTGGTAATAAAGTAATTGAACTACCCATAGGATCATATGAACTCAATGATATTTATGATTTTCTAAAAAATAAACTAAAAGAATATGATCTTTTGAAAACGTTTCATATGGAAAGTAATAGTAACACACTTAAAGTTCGTATTAAAACTACCAAGGAACCTATTTATTTCAATAAAAGCAACTCAATCGGACAATTGCTTGGTTTCAATAAAAAAATAATCTACCCCGATGTAACAAAAACATACATATCCGATCAACCTGTCAACATTTTAAAAATAAACACAATACGTTTAGTATGCAATATTGTAGGCGGTTCATATATAGATAGTAGATAAGATCATTCATTATATGAATTTGGAATCAATGTTCCACCAGGCTATAAAATGAATATCACACCAAACATTTACTTACCACTTTATTTACTTACCACTCAACACTAGAGAAATAAGCACGCTCTCTATTCACATAACAGATCAGAACGGAGAACTAATTAATTTACGTGGTGAAAATTATACAATTCGTTTACATTTAAGATTAATAAAATGATTATATATAATAAAAGAGGTGATACTTACCATCATCAACAAACTTTAAATCCTAAAGTTATAGGAAGAGGTTCAATTCCAAAAAGAAAAACAATTACATTAAAAAATAAATTAATTCTTAAATCACTGGGCTTCAAAGTACGAGTTTAACTAAAGTTATGGGTTTAATTGAAATATTAGCAGTACGAGAAAAACCTTTCTCTGATAATAACATATCAAAAAAAGAATATCACACCTATTCACCATATCAACAATCATTTAAACCAAATGATGAGATAAGAATTACAATTCAAAATCAAGATTTATATGTACTCCCCCATGAGAGTCTTCTTAATTTTTAAGGGAAATATTACCCTAGTAAAGGAAGGGGGTGTGGAAACTTCTAATGTTGTTGCGAAGATGAAAAATAATTTTATATCATACTTTTTAGATGAAAGACGATATGAAATAAATGGTGTTGAAATAGATAGAACACGATTTAGTGGTGTTACTTCTACAATAAAAAACTTTGTTTCTTTAAATTATTTTAAAGGCAGGAAACTTGTCAATGCTGCATGGAGTGGAGGTAGTGACTTCAATATGAAAAACATCAACTTTTCGTTACCCCTTAAAAATCTACTTGGATTCGCAGAAGATTTAAAAAAAGTTGTATTAAATTGTAAACATGAACTAGTACTACTGATAACAACAAATTTTCATGACATATTTGATGAAGATTTTATTGATACTAAAAAAAATCATCTGGGAAAATTTAAAATAACTATGTCTAATATTACATGGAAAATCCCTCATATAACACCGAGTGATTCAGCGAATGTATGATATTATAAAAAGTGGGGGCAATTTACCGATTGCATTCCGTAGTTGGGATACATATATGAATCTAAAACTAAGTAGTGAACACAACATGTTTGGAATGTTAAATTAGCTGCTAACCGTGAACGTCCACGATTTGCATTAATTTGCTTTGAAGATAAACACCAACTAATTATAAATAATCAAAATGAAATGGTTAAATCAGGACCTATTGATGTTAGCATTTCAATTGAACTTAGTAAGCCCGGTAGTGAAAATGCCCAAGTATATTGCGTGTTGATACATGATCGTTTAGTTGAATATAACCCTTTGAATGGTTTAGTTCAGCGGATCGTCTAACAATCATGAGTGAAGACATTGTAGCAATTGATGTTCAAGGATTTCTTGGAAATAATAATAAATTCATTCTAAAAGAAATTGGAATCATATTCAAAAATGAAACAATATTAAATTTTAATTTTATGATACACTCTCCACATGATTTTATTGAATTGAACAAGAAATCAAGAAAAACAGCTTCTTGGTTAACAAAAAAACATCATGAAATTTATTGGAATGATGGATCATACTTTTTCAAAGAAACACAATTGTATTTAAGAGAAATAAGCAGAAATAAAGAAATAATTTGTAAGGGATATCAAAAACGATTATTTCTACAAAAATTTTTAAAAATGGATAATGTGGTTAACATTGATGAAATTGGATGTCCCTCTCTAAAAATAATATATGAAAATCACTTTCCATATTGCTCATTACATGCTCGAGATGGTGTTTACGCTCTCAACAATGCACATAAAATATTAAACTTTTACACAAACGAAAAGTCTTAATAATTTCCCACATTCATTCACATTTTGAGTGTCGAGAAATAAGGTTTAACACATGACTGCTTCTAATAAAGATGACTTAAAGTTCCTGCTGGAGTCAAGGAATATGTTCATGGATATAAACGTAAAGGAGTTTATAAAAACAACTTTTGGAGAACATTTAATCTTATGTAAATTTTCTAATGATAATATAAAAACATGTGCTTGTTTTCATTTTGTAATTCAACAATATAGAGTTGGAAAAATAATTTGATCATATAATGAAATTCTAAAAAAAAAAATAAAAACCAAAAAAGAAATGTTCTATTACTTCGAGGGTGGGTCTATCAACAGCTGTTGCATTTTAGGAAAGAGTTTTCTATCTAGGTATAATACAATGTATAATATATAGCAAACTTTAGTTTAAGATAAACATTCAAACTATTGAAGACTTTTTAAAGGAGTATGGAAATGAGATCTTCAAGAAACACGTAACGAAATTGAAATCATTTCACACACACAATGTGTAGAAACCACCCCGGTTATTTATTCAAAGTATGGAGAGCACCTATCATCCTGTGCATGGGCATATTGTAAAGTTGGACCGGACACTGTATGCAGATGTATGCATGTTGAAAAGAAGAAAGAAGATGCCTTAAAATTGTTCTCAATTCTATTATTTGTTCTCAATTTTTTTGTTCTCAATTTTTTTTTTGTGTGTATATATCTAATCTAATTTAATTTTCTAATTTCTATATTTTCTCTATAAACGTGTGAAAAAAATTCAGGGGAAAAAAAACTAGTTTAACTTGTATTTGACTAAATAACCTGTCTAACTTGTGTATATTCTAATAGAACCCACCCTCTATAGAATTGAAACATTTAAGACACGATGGTTTCACACTCCCTCCCCCATCTAATGCTCACACTTGGGGGATGATCTCGAACTTACGCTTGTTTCACACTCACTTTCCCACCTAATGTTCACACTTGGGGGAGGATCGAGAACACCTCGAACACACGCTTGTTCCACACTTCATCCCCCATCTAATGCGGTCTAATATCCCTCAAACCAACACCTGCTGACCACAAGACACCCTATTTGGGGGCGGATCACTCTAAACAACCACAAATTCCTACGCATGACAAAACACCCCCTCACACACACACCTTCGGGATGAGAAAAAGACAAGACAAAACGAGACATGACCAAAGAACCTACCACCACTTTCACCATTTCTTTGGGGTGATCCTCACACTCACCCTCATTTTCCCACACTTTGATAACCTATTAATGCTAATTAAGTCTTCCAAACACCTGTGTGATTACCGTGTGACTAATTAGGGCCACACTCTCCCCCTATTTTCC